TAATGGAGGCTGCGCCGGTAATTTCTCGGCCTTCTTCACTTCGCCACCCCAACATCCCCCAGCAACAACAACTGCAGGCGGCGAACAACAAAAGCAACTGTAAATAGCCGCTGCCCCTTGTTTAGCGCCGCATAAACAGCGTAAGTCGACGCACATTGCACATCATTGTCACATCGCCGCTGTAATATACACATGTCTGTATGTAGCACCATACATCTGTATTTATCGCTATATTGCCCTCACCTTGCACTCGTCATCTTGCTTTTTGGCCCGGCGCCAAGAAATTAACCCCACCAAGGCGACCACGCGGCTTTGGCTTTGAGGGTGTTAACAAATGCAGTCACCCGCACCCCAGATCAGGGATAATAGAGTTTCTGGGGCAATTTGCGTACGATCTGAACTGTCTTTCAGAAGTGGTCAAAATCAGATATTTTCGGATGAAGCTATCTTTAAAAGTATAAAAAGAAATATGCAATACAAAAATCTTTAACTTTATTTTAAATTTATTTTTTCTGTTTACAAATCAACAGAACACACTCACTTCTGAAAACATAAAATAATGTAAACTTGTTGATGTTTAATATTATTATTAAAATACGTTTCTGCTTGACTTAAACCTTAAAATGATTACTCATTTCACATCAATTTACCAGATCCTAAAAAAACAGCCCACTAAAGCAAATAAACAGTTTAAGCCGTATTATAAACCGATACATCTTTAGTTAGAGCTTCAGATTTGTACCTTTATAACAATGAAAACTTTAGATAAACAAAAAATAAATTTTCTCTTGCCCTAAAGCAATTGTAGCAAAACGTAAATAAAATAAATTTGTTTAGAATACCTCACAAATATATCAATAATAGTTTATTTACACAATCTGGGAGCGTGCACAACAAATCTGTATTTATTTGGGTATTTTAAACACCCAAGCCTATGCCAAAAACATTTCAATATCACGGAAGAATCCAACAAATTCACCGATGCTTGCTATCGTTTTTCATTACCAGGTCGCAAAATAATGTCGACAACGGGAAACTGCAGTCATAATGAAGAAGACAAATTAAATAAATAAATGCTCAATAACGAAATTGCGTTGCAAGCTAGAACCTAGCGAGATTAATGATGATTTAATGTAAGCATCGGCGGACTATACCAATTTTGCCACCTGGCTAAAAGGGAAGCCAGAAAGCCATCAGACTGGAGGCCTCACTCACCCTGAAGCGCATATTTGCCCGCAAAATTGGCTACAAGGCGAAATCGAAGTCAATTTTAGCGGCCATGCGCACGAAACACCTGATCCTGCTACTGATCGGAGTGATAATAGCCACGATCATATTCATCGCATTCGGACCAGCCGGCGAGCCGAACGACTCATTCAAGAACATCGTCGTCCAGACGCACCAGCAGTTCAAAGAGTTTCAGGTGAGCTGACTCACATTTTCGGGGGTCTAAGTGCCAGCGCCGACCACTGATACGGACACTCCGCGCCCCACATTGTGCCGAATGGCTTAGATAAGGGTATTAAATAATAATTATCTGTTCGTATCTGGCGCTGGCGTGTTGAAACTCACATATAAATAGGGAAAACCGAAACCACAGTGCACTTGTTTTTGGGTTCCTTAGATTCGACGCGCTTAAACTTATCACTAGGGTGGAGCTCGGGAAAAACAAATGCGAACCTAATTGATTTATGGTGCGGGTCACATGTATGATTCATAGTTTCCACTATCAGCACATTGTCTAATGTTGATGGACGGCCCTATATCCACGACATTTTTTTGGCAATTGCTTTTGGCAGCGTCTGGCTTTTGGCATCGAACTTGGCCTTGAACTGTGCTCCGCCCCTGACCCGCCCACACATGTAGCTTATTTTCCACTCACTTTATGCTTTTAGCCAAATTGAAGCACGTCCTGCTGGCTGGGCGGGCCGAAAGCTAGATACGCCAGGCAGTCTGGCACATTTGGCCAAGACAAACAGGCCGGCAGCAAACCGAAAGTCATCAGCATCACTCACACAAGTGTCTGGAGGAGGAAGAGAAGAAAGGGCGGATGTTGACCAGGTTCAGGTTCATTTCAGAACACTTTTGGCCGTGGTGGCAAACGAAAAGCCGTGGCCAGTGGTGGTTCTGTTTGGGTTTCGCATGCCAAAGCGTTTACTGTTTACACTAATTAGATTCCGGCCGGAGTCAGGTTGCAAGCCCGTTGAGTTATTGGGTAACTCGAGGGGACTGCGGTTAACCACAGCCCAGAGACTTCCGCTGCTATGGGATTTCTTTAAATTATATAGCCGGATGGTTATAATTCATCATTTAACATTGGTTAGTAAAATAACCAAAGGTGGAGCTTCGTTTTGGGGGGTTGTCTTATCACGTAAGCATATAAAAGCAAATCGATTTAATGAAACCGTAAAAAAGAGTCTTGTCTTTTAAGTTTACAACTAGTTGTTATCTAAGTCAGATAACCAGAAAAATACAATTTCGGAATCATGACAAACAAAGATAACGGAAACACTAATGAATAATACCACTGTTTTGATAGGGATCAAAATTATTTTCTAAAAATCGGAATATATTGAACGGGAGTTATACGCATTTCAATTATTTGTTGTTATAAACCCGTTTTTACAATTGCAACAATATCTATATAATATTGTGTTCCGTGAGTAATTTACAATGAATTTTCACTAAACTGGTTTGCCCTAGTACCGATACCTACATATATATCTAACTCGAATTACGCTTATGTGTCCAATTCGATTTCCACTCATGTAAGCAAGCATATAGACTTACAATTAAAGTGATTGAGTGTGCAACTGCAAACACATGATGCATGCCGACCGTTTCCCCCAAGTGTCTTAGAAACATTTAGTTGTCTATAAAGATGGAGTGTTCATTAATCAAGCAAACTTTATTTCTATAGGTACTGCACAACTAGAAATATGAATGTTTTGTATCTTTTTTCAACACGTGACACTGGTAATTTGACCGAAAAAAATAGTGACCCCATCCCAAATGGTAAATTGATAAGTCAAGGGAATATCTACGTTAGTGGAAAAACGTGATAACACTATAAACAATAGGAAGGAAGCTAGCTTCGGCAAGCCGAAATCTATATCATGCCATTAAAATCATATAACAGAAACCGTAAAAAGATATACCCAGAGTTAAAAATAACTTGATAAAAAAAACAACTAAGGTAAAATTTGTATCCAATATTTTTCCGACCCTTCCTATTGGAGCTATATGTTATGGTTGGGAAAGTTTCTTGCCGACACCTTTAAAACTGAGAGACTAGTTTGTGTAGAAACGGATATGGTTAAACCGACTCGTCTAGTGATGCTGAGCAAGAATACATATACTTTATAGGGCCCCTCTGAAAGACAAAAAAAATTTGTACTTACCAAAGTAAATTCATTCTATTAATTATGGCTTATACATACAAATGTATAAATATGGCTCGAAAGTCACCCCACACTTTTCATACAGTTAAGTGCTTGTTTCGTGGGAAATAAACATGTGGGATTAAACAAACTACGACTTTAAGTGGACTTTAAAACTGTGGGGCAGACAGAACTGCTTTAAAATTCAAACAACAAAGTAGTTCGAAAATTAATAATCCAATTATAACATTATACTAGGGTATTCCGAATTTTATGAAATATTAACGCTGCCCTATTTGTGACAATTTGTGTCAACTCTTAATGGATGGACTAATCAATGACTTAAATTGCCCCGATGGTCGCGAGCTTTATCAATGCGTTTGCACAGCGATTACCTATATTTCATATTTACCTGTGTGCGAAGTATCTAAACGAGCGCTATTGATTGCCATATAGCTTTGACAGCCATTGCTTCAATGTCGCACCGCCACCCACTCACATGCTGAATAATACAATTAAGCTGCAGTTGGACGATAATCTATTTAAATTATCCATGTAGGGCGCTAGGAAAATATTGCTGACAAGCGATGAACCGACTGAACCGACTGACCTCTCGAACTTTGATTAACATGAATGCGGGGGTTGAAAAAAGATGGCCTTTATGTGAAGACGATGAAGTAAACGAGACATCGCTCAGTTCTCTATAAAGGGTTCTAAAATAAACTTTGGCATCAATGGAAAGGTAATTTAAACGCCGTTCGAATGATACCATACATTTCTTAACCCATTCAGTACTTATTGAAAAGGACAAATTTGTGTAAACATCTACTTTTTAAACTTTTTTCCTCGACTTGAAATCTTAAATTTGTTGATGCAAAAAGTTTCTTCAAACAAAAATAATAGTAACTGCAAAAAGAATATTTCAAAAATCATTTTGTTTATATTTGTTATGATTTTTTAAAGGTGACAATGTCGGAAAAAATGTGTATGAAAAAAAGAAAAACAGGGCTCAAATGCCTGTTTCTACAGATTTTCAAAAAATCATAAAAAATATAAGAAAAATTCTATTTGCAGTTACTATTATTTTTGTTTGCATCAAAAAATTTAAGTTTTTAAGTCGAGGAAAAAAGTTTAAAAAATACATTTAAAAGTAGATTTACACAAATTTGTAATTTTCAATAAATACTGAATGGGTTAAGAAATGTATTGTATCATTCAAACGGCATTTAAATTACCTTTCCATTGATGCCAAAAGTTTACATGAAGTAAGTTCAAATTATGAGTATATTTAACTTTTGTTTGTCAAAATACTTATGCCGACCAGTGTAAATATTACCATGTATTTACATTTAGCTCGATATGTTAAATATTCTTACATATTGTTTGGACCTTAAGTACTGAAGAGATCATTATAGCTTACAACCTCAGGCTATCTAAGCAACAAACTTATATTTTAAAACGCGATTATCTCGGAATGGTGTTTGCGGTGGACACAATTCCAGGAAAATTTAAATCCCGAACCCTTTTTCTTTGCTACTTATAAAAAAAGAATTATCTTGTCGCTGAACGATGTAATTTTTAGATATTTTAAATTTCTTATTTTTACTCTCGAAAAATAAGTTTTATTTAAACTGCCATGTAATCAAAATTCTTAGCGACAAGATAACTGATTTCACTCGCATACGGTTCCTTCTACCAGTTACATACTTTCCGACGAATAAGTTATTCCATTTTACCTTACGAGTAGAAAAACTATTTAATGCTGTCGCACATCTTGAAAAGCCTGCAACAAAAAAGAAAAGTAATATATTCCAACCAAACTTATAAGGCAAGATGATAAGAGTTTTACGTGTCTTTTACTCATATTCTTATATAACCAATTCAGGGCTTTGTAACAGCTTTTACAAAATCTGTCCAGCCAATTTTACCATCGCCATCAAAGTCGACCTGTTTAAACATTTCATCGAACTCCAGATCTGTGAACTTCATACCCATGGACAGGGCAAAGTGGCGCAGATCGCTGCCGTGAATTGAGGCATTTTTAGTCTCATCGATCGCGTCGAAAGCTGCCTTCAGGGAATCCTTGTCGTACAGCTGCTGGTAGACTTTGGTCATAACATGGAGGAACTGCGCTACCGTGACCCCCTCGTTTAACTCATATTCAAATTCCTGAAACATACAGTTGATCTCCGATTCAGTGCGAATTATTCCCAGTTGGTACATCACATCGCCGAGATCATTTTGACTAATCATTCCAGGTGTATGGGTTTCATAAAGCGCGAATGTTTCGCAAATTTCTGTGGCCTGGTCCTCAGTCAGAGAACGAATAGTTGTTTCCTCCTCTTTTGTGTCTTCCATGTTTTTTAATTATATTTGTGTATTTATTTTTTATTGTACAGTTTTTATATCTTTTGGTGTATAGTGTAGGTTTTAGCTTTAAAATGTTAATGTTATATGTCTCATATTTTCAAATGCCATTCCGAATTGTTATAATAAACTAAGTTCAAAGCCTTCTTTAACCCGTTATTGTTGTCGATAGTTATCAGACTATAATTTGTCTGTAAAAACTGCGAGATCTCGTGCACTTAAGATATTACCTAAACTTTTAAATTGTCAGATGTTGTCAGCTGTTACCACAGATATTTCATTAAAATAATGCCATGGTCATGGCAACAATTTCAACAATTTTGCAAAATAACAGTTTAGGGATTACCCTTAAGGAATGGTGTGTATGGGTGGATTGAAAATACATATCTGCCAAGTACTCTTATTTGGCTCATTTACTATAAATCTCAAAAATTTCTAAATTATTTTAACGTACTGAAATATTTTTTTTTAATACCCTTGCAGAGGGTTTCATGGTTTCAGTTAGAAGTTTGCAACGCAGTGAAGGAGACGTTTCCGACCCCATAAAGTATATATTTTCTTGATCAGGACCACTAGACGAGTCGATCTAGTCATCTGTCCTTCCGTCTGTCCGTTTCTACGTAAACTAGTCTCTCATTTTTATACCTATCGGGAAAAAACTTTCCCATTGCAGGTAGTATATAAGTCGGAACAAGCCGCATCGAACAACTATATCCTATAGCTCCCATAGGAATGATCAAAAAATATATTTTTTAATTTGTATAAAAAGTATAACTTTGGTGTTTTTTGACATATTAACATCTTCTTTTCGGAATATCATTGTTTTAACATTTCAGAATTTTGAATAAAATTCAAATTAAGTCATACGACTTCATCATTAGCTACCAAAGCAACGATCGGGTAATTATACCGGTATACTTCGTTTTCGGTAAACATATACGGTAGTAAATTAAATTAGAACATAACCTTAAAGTTGTTGTAATTACTTTTTAATTATTAGTTAAAATCCATCTTTATCGTAATCGAAAACGTTGTATGCTTCCTTTAAATGCTTAGTATGTTCCATAAATTTATAGATTTGAGTCATCAATTCATTAAAATGTAGCAAAAAAATCACCTTCAAGTCTTTTGGAATACCTGTAAACTTCAGACTCTGTGGTTTTGGCCGAGAGCGCGCATCACAGTTCCCAAATCTACTGGACTGATTCTTCTAGTCTATTGTGGATCACAAAAGGTGAATGTTTCGCGGACCTCTGCAAGATCGTCTGCGGACAAAGTATACTCAAGTGGATAAAAACAAGAAAGAACGCTATAATTTCGTTTTCTAACTAAATAAAAAACAATGTTCGGTTGCAAGAAATTGCGGCCAGCCCGTATGTATGACAGCCTTCAGCGTTGATTCTCGTGATAGTAAAATATAGAAGTATCTAAGGACTTACACAGACCGCTAGTAATAATGTGGAAATGTAAAATCACAAATCTTAAATATGTAAAGAGTTTAGGTAAGAGTAACTATTGTCTATAGTTAAATAACTATCAAAACTACAACTTTTCAATGTTATACTAATTTTACCAAGAAAAAACTCTGAACGGCGCAGCGAAAGATATTCATCAAGTTAAAAAAAAGTGTGTGTATTATTCGAGCTGTAAAAAACATATTGTATCAGGGGAAAAGTATGTAACAGGTAGAAGGATGCGTTTCCGACCCCTCAATATTTAAAGAACCTTGATCAGAATCACCAGCCGAGTTGATCTAACCATGTCAAACTGTCCGTGTGAACGCTGTGATTGTGATAAAAGTTGTAAAAAAAAGTGTAGTGGTTTTATATATACCTATCGATTGCCCTAGAAAAATGTTGCCACAAACCACATAAATACGTCCGAAAAAAAGCGGTATCTTGGAAAGTTTAACAAAAAATTGGTATTACGAGTGCAGGCTCTAGAGATTTAAACAGTCAGATCCATGTGTTTATATTAAACTTTTGATGAACTTAATAACAATGCATATAGGAATTTCCCATGTTATTATTAATTTTACAATATTTTAAAAGCAAGATGTGACTACTAAGTTGCTGAATGAGTCAACATTTTATGATCAACTTCGCCAGAGAAAAAGTAAACACGGAGTGCGGTCGCGGTCAAATATTTAAATTGGCATCGTAATCAGCGTAGCTCGTTTTTATGATTGCTTTTCCTCATCGCCGTCACCCTTTCGAATATCCTGGCACTCCCCGGCGACCATTAGGCACATGCGACCATTTTGCCCATTTCGGAGTCACGCGCCCAGTCACATGGACACACACAATCCGAATTCTTGGGACAAGGTTTTACAGCCGACTTTCTGGCGCTGCCCCGACTGACCCAAAGGAATTCGGTGGGAATTCCTAGTGGCGCCGAGACAAGAAAAACGCTACTAGGGTGTCTTTTTTTAGAAGGGGTTCGTGTTTATTTAATGCTTTCAATTTGGAATTTCTCATTCAGCTTCGCATGGCAGCAACAAACTCATTAAAGGATATCTTTCCATCTTTATCCATATCAATGTCCTGGAACATCTCTTGCAGATCACTGTCAGACATCTTTTCGCCCAGATTGGTCATCACCGCTCTAATATCCAAAATCGTAAAACTGTTCACTTCGTTGCGATCGAAGATCTTAAAAGCCTGCTTTAAGGACACAAGACTGTTTTGCTCCTCCAGCCGCTTAGACATAACATATAGGAAGTCCTTGAATTGTACTTGGCCACCAAAGTCCAAATCAGTTTCATTGGCCAGGTTATATATCTCCGCTTCGGTAAGGATCTCGCCAAGGGCCCGCATAACTCCTCCGAGCTGCCTGATGGTCACAAATCCTGACCTTTCCGTGTCATACAGGTGGAAAGCTTCCCGGATCTCTTCTATCTGGGCATCGGTCAAACTGCTCATGCTGGCCAAAATAAAGTGTTTTTTTTTTAGTATTGGAACGTTGTTTTACGTTTCTTTTCGTTTTAGTGTCAGTTCCTAAATAACAAACCAAAAATATATATTGACAAATAGATCTAAGGTGGTTTGAAAGGTTCTTCTGTTGCCTACAGGAGAAAAGAGGGAAACTATAAGACAATTTGGGACTTTTTAATGGACTCACCTTAAAAGAGAGAGGCTATCGCGTTGTCATCATGTTAACAAACTCCTCGTAATTGATGTGATTGTCCTGATCCAAATCGTACTCGCGTATCATTTCCTCCAACTCGTCGTCGCCAAGCTTAACGCCCAACGCCGAGAAAACATTTTTTAGCTCGGTGGTGGTAATATAGCCGTTGTTCTCCTTGTCGAAAATGCGGAAAGCCTCGCGCAGCTCCTGCTCCTGGCCCGTGTCACGCATCTTGCGAACGATAATGTTACAGAACTCACGACCCGCGATGGAACCATTACCATCCGAGTCAACCTCATTGATCATGGACTGAACCTCCGTGTCGTTGGGCTGGCGACCAAGGGCGCGAATCACCACCGCCATCTCCTTAGAGGTGATGGCGCCCTCGTTCTCCTTGTCAAAGATGCGGAAGGCTTCCCAGATCAGGGACTGTTCCTCATGCGATATATCCTCCATCTTAATTGGTTTGGTTGATAGGGGGTGTATAAGTGGTATAAGGCGTTGTTTCGTATATTTGTTGTACTGTGTATTTCTCTGTTCGGAGGTGTTAACTGAATTTCCCCCTTCAACTTCACACGGCTCCTGACATTGAAATCGATTCCTACCCCAAGGGAAAAGCTGCGGAAAATGAAAACGGAAAAATGAACATCCCCCCGTGGCTTTATTTCGCTGCAGAGTGCACAAAACCGATTGGCACAAAATCAATAAACTCGTTGTGTAAGCGCAATGTCACAGGGGCAGAGTTGATTGATTCGAATGTCCTTGGGCCAAAAGGCCCTGAAGCTGATCGCTTTCAGTTGCGACATAAAGTCGTCTATACCCATAGCTAGCAACCGTAATCTACAACTAGTATCTTTCGATTTTTGCTAACAAAGTTCAGAAAGAAAAAAAGCACAGCCACTTTTCTCATCCTAATGTTAAACTATAAAACAAAATAGATCAGCACTTTTCATAAAGCTTATATATTATGTTCCTGCTTGGTTTAGCTTCTATGTAAACTCATTATAAAAACCGCATTTACATTTTAGTTTTGGGTCAATTTACTTTACAATAAATTGATTACTTGATTTTCCATGATAAACTAAATATGGGTTTTTATAAACCTGATATTTTGTTTATCTTTGCTAGTCTGATATCATAAAGATTGCCCATTAAAGTTGTAGGAGCTTTAGGTTAAATTAGTTTCATTGGTGATATCCGTATTCCAAATTTATATGATGGCTTTCCAATTTAAAGCTTGATTGTAACAATGGTTTTCTTTTGAAGCTACTATTTTTTAATAATTTTTTCAACTCAATGCAATGAAACGATTTAGGGCAATACTTTTTGTTTTAAGTGTAATTTAGAAGTAGTGGTTGCCATCGGTCGAGCAAGGTTGTCATGCGATTTGGGTTTGGCGACGCCTAGCCTTCGCCTTTTGCCGCAGGTTAATTTCAGTTGTTTTCCTCTTAGGGCCTTTCACCTGCCCGTAGTGGGGCACAGCTGACACCATCTTGTGGCTGGAGAAGGAACAGCGCCAGGAGCCAGAGCATGCGGCACGCTCTCCTCTGGCCACATTCAAAACAAATAGTAGACACAAATTTGGCATCGGCACGAGAAGGTTCCATTGTGTGGCGGTGTTTGTGTTTTGGGTTGGGGTATTTGTATGAGTTGGTTTCTGCGGGAAGGGAGCGTGCTTTAGGGCCGTAATGGAAAGATTTCTCACATGTGTGTTTCCGCCGGGCCAACTAATATGTGTCGCCTCGGAATTGCTCCCATGACGGGGCAAATTTCACTTACCGAGCTTGGCTTTTGGGCACAAGGATTGTGGCCATATTAAGTTAACCGCAGTCTGCTATTATATGAATTATTAATTTGGAAAACCCTATTTAAACACTAATTTTCTATTTAATTCTTGCAGGAGAACCTCCGCGTTGGTTTGGAACGCAAAAAACTTGAAATAGACCCAAAGTATTTGATACTTCTGGGCTTCACCTCGCCAAAGGATGCCTCAGGCCAACAGCAACAGCAGGATCAGCAGAATGGGGCCGTCATTGGGTTACCAGGCCAGCACCTGCCAAAAACAGATTTCCCAGCGCCGGCTACCAAAGCGGAACAAGAGCTCAGCGAGCTACGAGGACTACGGCGTCCCCAGGATGCCGTCACCTTTGATGGCCAGCAGGGAGATCGAGAGCAACGGGGCCAGCGCAAACGGATCACCACACCGTACAACGGAACAAAGATCAACTTCACCATCGTCACGTATGTGCTGGAGGGTCAGGCTGCATCGGCCATCCTACTGGCCCAGAACATTGCAGCGAAGCTTCCCAGTGAATACCTCCTCATCTACGACTTGGGTGTGTCAGAGGAGCAGCTGCGGGACTTGGGCGCCTACTGCAACAACAGCCGGTGCTCGGTGATCACCTATGACCTTTCGGAGTTCCCCTCCTTCGTCAGTGATCAGCGGACGCACGCGTACCGGCCCATTGTGATCAAGGACGGTCTGATGCGTGCCCGGTCGGTTCTCTTCCTGGAAAACTACATGCGGGTGCGAGGCGGCTCCGCCCAGCTGCACAAGCTGCAGAGTAGCGTGATGAACCCCGGAGTAAAGACCGCTGGGGTCCGGTCCGCGGGAGTCCTTGGCTGGAACACGCCAACGGCAGTGTCCTCGCTGACGCATCCCAAAATGTTCGACTACTTCGAGTCGAAAGCTGAGGACTTCAACTTCCTGCGGATGGTCGACCTGGACGCAGTATTTTTCTCGGACAATCCCCTGGTTACCGAGAAGATCATGCTGCCCTGGCTAAAGTGTTGTCTGACCCTCGAGTGCATCGATCCAATCGGTGAGTCGGCAGTTGTGGCGAATTTGGGTTATGGAAAACTGTCATTAGGAATGTGCCCTGTTTCCCCAATATAAATCAATCAAACCTACATTCGTGCCACCACCCCAATCTCTCCTTTGGGTCTGGTGTACTAATGACCGTCATTTGCACGGCATTCCGTTGATGGCACTCACATCAGGGAAAATTATGTAATTACCATTTGAATTTGGATTGATAGCAAACGTAACAGTGCCTTTTTAGATCGAACAATTCATTTTTATTCAACCGGCCATTTTTCACTTTTCCTGTGTTTGTTTATTACATATATTGTAGATGAACCAACATCACATAATTCTGGCTTCATTCCCTTGAATTTCGTTGAAATGAACTCTGTGTTCGTTTCCGTGACTTCATATGAAATGAACACACAGTTCATTGACAATTAGTTCAATAAAAGGAATATGCTTTTTTATATGTTCTTGACGATATAGTTAGTAACCGATGGCCACGCATTTCTCCTTTTTTCATTGATTGACAGTGGCAAAACCAACTAAACTCGTGCCAAAGAGCAACAGACCTTATCACCACTTCATTAACAGCAAATGCAAACTGAAAATGTATCTTCATGCTCGACAAATATTTTCTTTCGGATAAAAGACATCAGTAAATATTTCAGTTGTCCGCTGTTCAGCTTCGAAAAGGGTTTTATAGCATCGTAACAAATTTTTCGTCACATCGGGTTTCTTGTAAGATTTAAATATTTGTGGTTTGGAGTTTTCGATACCGAACGGTGTTCCTAGTTGCCGATAATTTTCCGAAGTGCTTGTACAAAAATTTCTGGTTTTTGTATAATAATCGTCTTGGGGGGATTTTATTACAGAGCCCAGTAAGTTTTTGCTTTTTTCCACATTTTTAGACACCTTAAAGTTCCTATGCTTTACATTTTCCATATAGTATTGTCGTTGCGCCAAGAAGACTTGTTTGATTGCCATTTCCTTCACCAATGGTGGTATTTTTTCTGCCTTGTATTTTTGCAGCAAATTGCAAATTTCACATTCGCATTCAGTTTGAGTAACTGCATCAGCCTGGGGTACATGAATTCTGTTACACCTCTTAGGTTGTTTTTTCCTAAACACTTTGACAGGTTGCCGTTTCCTTTTATTCAAAGGAACGTGAACAACTTCATAATCATCGAAAGTCAAGAGTTCTTGAGGCGAATTGTTAATGTCAGAAATCGTGAGTACAGCATTCGCCTTAGATTGATTAATTCTCTTAATCGACTTAAATGTTCTATTTAACTGCTCCGATAAGTCTGAACTTACCGGCGATATAGTTTCCTCAGAATGCTCAAAGCTGTTAGGCTCCTCATGGCTTAAACTATCCAAGCGATGAAGTTGCTGTACAAGTTCTGTCTTAGAAGAAATTTTTCTTTCGTAGGATCTGTGTATGTTAAGGAACATGTTCGCCGCAGTTTGTCTAGTTGAACGTCTTAAACTCGTGTCCATAGTTCGAAAGACCTTTTTGCTGGAAATAGCTTCCGCATCCCGTGGTGAAGTAGAATCTATAAGCTGTTTTTTAAGCATATTTGTTATACTGGATGCACCTAGTTTCGAGGCCCGCTCCTTCAGATACTTGAACCCGTAGTCATGAATTTTAAGGCTTTCACCCAGCTTAAAATCAAATCGCTGGTTCAGAGAAGGCTGTTTTTTCAGATTTTTTATTTTTATTGACGATGTTTTAGATGGTTCAGAAAAATAATTTATCCCGTGTTTTAATGACCTTTTTGCAGACCTGTTCTTCAAAAGATCTCTATAATCCGTGGGCAAATTTAAGGCAGTTCGAGATAATTTCTTTAAAATCGTATACTGCATATTCTTGCTTAGCTTTGATGGGTTCTTTGGACCTTTCAACTCGCCCAGCTCTACTAGAGCTGGCCACAGTTCTGTTAGCTTCTTTTCTGTTTCTACAACAGATAACCTATGTTTTTGTAAAGATTTAAGATGAGATTTGAGTTGAGATGTGTGAGTGTTGCGCCTTTTATATAATTTGTTTGCTTTATCGTTAGATTTCATATATTTTGTTTGCATTTTTGCTTTGTTTTTTCTAAACACAAATCTACTAAGCAGTCGATTAAGAATGTGACAAAATCCTGGACTATTTGGCTTTGAATTAATAGGCCTTGCCAAAGGCTCGGGTATATTCTTTTGGGGCTTGAATCTGATTCTTTGCCTTTTAATCTGATTTATTTCAATAACTTTATTGTTGGACATTTCCGTTTGCTCAAAGAAATGTTGTTCTCTTACTCGGGGAAGCTTTCTTTTTGACTTGCTAGCTTTTAACTGCTGGTCTTGAGGAGGCTGGTACATCTGCTTTAGCTTCTTTATGTGATTCTTGAATCGTTTCCACTTGGGCATCTCGATTTCCGCATTACATGATTTGACTCCACTTGAAAACATGCTCTTTTGGAGTTGTTCCATTCGTTTAATCAGAGGCATCTCCGATCCCTCATTATTAATACTAAGGAGGCTGTAATGATTCTCTGCCCTAGAGATTTTGCCAGCACTGCTCAAAAACGGACAAGCATGCCCCAGGAACACTTTATGCTTATCCCTGACCGTGGGATGCAGCGTTGACTTGGATATGGCTTGGAAAAATGTTGGCATGGTTCAGAAAATGATACCCTGGTTTTATTACAAAATTTTGACAGCCGAAATAAAATCGAACAATAAATTTTGTATTTCAAAGCCCACTGGGGGGTTCCCTTAGCAAACTTCGGTCCTGAAGCATTCGCGGAACATGCGTATGGCATCCATGATTTGGTTGAAGAAGACCATCTTCATCAAACGCCAAACCCCCTTGGGCAAATCGCAGTGAATGTTGCAGGCGGCAAAAACATACTCCTGGGGTCCAATATTGTAGCCATGTCCACCGCACAGCATGTAGTGGGTGTCGTATATGACGTACCACGCCTCCACAGTGCAGGCCATTCCCAAGAAGACCTCTACCACGCGGTTCAGTCGGTAGGCCAGCAGCAGAAATAACCCAAAGATGATACAGATTATGGAAATCCCTCGAATCTGGGTGAACCGAAAGTGCTCCTGGGCGGAGTATAGCGTTAGGGCTAAGATCTCTACGATTAGGATGACGGGATAGACATAGACCTGCAATACGAACGGTTATAAAATCAAACTTAATGCTCTGTATTTTTTAGGCAATATATTTCAATATAAGCTCAGTAGTAATAAAATAATGATCTTCTTCAAACATTAAAATCAATATTAAAATATATCATTATACCCTTGCAGAGGTTATTATGATTTCAGTCAGAAGTTTGCAACGCAGTGAAGGAGACATTTCCGACCCCATAAAGTATATATATTCTTGATCAGCATCACAAGACGAGTCGATCTAGCCATGTCCGTCCGTCTGTCCGTTTCTACGCAAACTAGACTCCCATTTTTATAGCTATCGGGATGAAACTTTCCCAAATTTCTTAATTCTATTGCAGGTAGTATATAAGTGGGAACGAGCCGGATCGGACAACTATGTATATCCTATAGCTCCCATAGTGATCAAAAAATATTTTTTTATCTTGGCAATATCATTTTTTGAACATTAAAGAACTTTGAATAAAGTATTAACAAAATCGGACGACTTTATCATATAGCTGCCATAGGAAAGATCGGATAATAATGTCAAAATAACACAAAGTGCGTTATATTCCGTTTTCAGTAAACATAAACGGTAGTTAATTAAAATGGAACATTATCTTAATGTTTCTGTAATTAGTTTTAAGCTTTCGAAAAATCGAAAAGCTCTGAACATACAACGCTTCCACGGGATCGACCTGGAATGGTATAGAAACATCGGTTTGCCGGAGCTAGCTTCCTTTCATGTTTTTCATTAAATTTCAAACTTAAATTGGATTTAAGAAAAATGTTTTCACATACAATCCGACGTGTAATGCTGATTAATTCTCAAATTTTGACTCACCCAATGTGATTGCACCATATTAAGTAGATATACACTCCTATTAAAGGACCCGATGCATGTGGTTAAGAAAAGTACCAAGTAGTTAAAAGGGACAAATCTCCTCCACTCCCGCCAAACGTAGAAGCACGTATACAAGAACATAGTTAAAAACATGGCTATGGACATTATATAATTGTAAGGCAAGGGATATTTTAACAACAACTCCAGACAGGGCAAGGTAAATACCAGCTGCAGCTGCAATCAGCATTTTATAATAAGTAAAATGAAGTTGTTCGATTCGAAAATAGATAACGGAAAACCTACGATTAGTATTCCATAGAAACGGCGCACCAGACGACGTCGGAGTCCAATGTTTGTAATGTCGAATTCAAAGTTCCTTTGCAAATGTCCATTGGGCAGCAAAAGTTCACATTGTATAGCAATTCCCGGGATTTCCGATTTTTCCACCACCAATATGGTGTCCATTTCACCACTCAACTGAGGAGATACTGCTGCCTAATGCCCAATTATATTTCTGTATTTGATAAGCCCCGTTTTCCAGTTAATAGTTTATCTAATTTGGTATACTCCATTTCCATAAACACCCCACTCAGTTACTCAGCTAAAGAGAGCAAAAGGGTGATGTAGATATAACAGGTTTTTCAATAGGAGCGCTAAAATGCTTTTAAAAACCAGAACGGTTTGGAACATCAATGAAAATCTTTATTTCTGTGAAAGTACATTATCTATGAATCTCGATTTCTGTTGCATGGCTACGATTGCAGAAGTCACAGCACCCAAATGACGATGGTTTTTAAGCATAAATCGGCCGATACTGCTGCAATTTCACGTTCGATGTTCGTACGAAGTTCTCCAATCGTAGCTGCTTAAGTTCTTTCGTCAATTTGATCTTGTAAGGATGTAGGCCAAAATCTTTTCGCAAAAATTCGCCACAACGACGTCATAAGGATGCCTAACGGTTGAGAAAGAAGTTCGGTAGTAAATTTAAATAATTTAGACTCGTTGGATTGTATATCCTTCCATAATGGAATGACAAACCTTACTGAAGAGAAATGTTAAATGACACAGTTGGGGCGGTTTATGTAAGTGGCATTTTTATACCCGTTACTCGTAGAGTAAAAGGGTATACTAAATTCGTCGGAAAGTATGTAACAGGCAGAAGGAAGCGTTTCCGTCCCCACAAAGTATATATTCTTGATCAAGATCACTAGCCAAGTAGATCTAGACATGTCCGTCTGTCCGGATGAACGCTGAGATCTCGGAAACTATAAGAGCTAGGCTATTGAAATTTGGCATGCAGATTCCTAAGCTTCTTACGCAGCGCAAGTTTGTTTCGGCAGAGTGCCACGCCCACAAACCGCCCAAAACTGGCTCCTACAGTTTTGATGCTAGAATAAAAATTTTATCTGAAATGTAGTGTTCTTATCAATACCTATCCATTGACCCAAAAAAAATTTGACACGCCCACTCTAACGCCCACAACGCTTAAATCTGTCTACCGCGGGTAGGTGGCGCATTTCAATCTCGCTTTGCTGGTTGCATATCTCCATTTCCCTTTGGTGCCTTTAGCTGAGTAACTGGTATCTGATAGTCGAGGTACTCGACTATAGCGTTCTTCCTTGTAAGTAATAAGGAGTTCCTAAGTTAAAGATAGCTCCCTATTATTTTAAGTTCGGTGGAACGAAAGAAATGTTTCATTTGTTATAATTACAAATTATAAGCTTTAACCGTCGCTGGTAAAACCATAAAAGCAAGAATATTAAATTTTGGCTTATAAAGGTTCATCTTAATTTATATACCTACCCTCCGAAAAACAAACTATTAACTCGAACTATTAATCAATACATTTGTATTTTTGCAGGTGCCCAATCAAATGGCTGCAAGTTCAACAAGAAGCCTCTGTACCGATATTCCGGGTGCCACGGGTACGATGCCTCCGCTTTCAACATTGTTCTGGGTCTTACCTCGCAAATGGACAACACTGAGTACTCACTGCCCAGCGACAGTCCACGCAACATTTTCTACAAGGAGACGCTAGAGCAGGCGACACGGATTCTGGAGAGCAGGCGGCGCAACAGCAGCGAGACATCCGACCATCCGTTTACGGACGACTGAGCAGGGAGATCTGAAATAAGAAGTGAACGTGGGCATGGCCAAAGCATTTGATACAACATTTTCTACAGACACACACAGACACACTCAGGAGCCGGCGGAACAAACCAAGATTAATAGGAGATACGGCGTAACAGAGAATCCTTAATATGAATTAGATAACGCTCGGGGGCGATTCCCTATCAAGCAGAGATTGACAGACGATTTGGTGTCCAAGACAAGATCAGAAGTGAACAGACCAGAGCACAGTAGTTTAGCGTAGCGTTAGGATGTGCAGTTTATCAATACTTATAACAATTTAGTCAAGCCCTAGTTACTTATTTACCGAAAATCTACATGAATATCTGTGTGAATGTTTCCATGTACTTGCTGCGCGCATCAATAATTGTAAAACCCCTTCTTTAGTTAACTGCCCCAACTGTAAATACATAAGAACATCAAATGGCATACATTTTGTGATTGTATTTTATAGTTACTCACGCATAGACAAACATATACAGTATATAAATATAAATGTATTGTATCTAACCTAGAACAAGACGAGCCAAAAAAGTAAGTTAATAAAATTCTGAATTACCAATACCAAACGAAACCGTTCTTATTCTGACTCTGTAATTGGCAATAAATTGAACCTGCTATTATATATGAGTTTATATGTAGCCCTTCAATTGTAAATGGCACTTTTTCACATTTTTGTAAAGCTGAAGCTGGTTATATCTTGTAGAGGTAAGGGAGTACAAACAAATGCATTACTTTCAGCGTGACTGTCATTAGCCACACTAAACAAATCTCTGTACGATCCGAAGAACATAAATAAATATGCGGACCACATCGACGTACAGAGTGAGAGCTGCGAATACATATTCCTCGGGATCCAACTGTTCCGCACGATTTCCGCCGACTATGGACTGCATGTCGTAGATCAGGAAGAAGCATCCGATTACGGCACACAAGCAAGAAATTGGCAAGCTATCCACGAATCCGGGCATCGAGAAACTACACACTGAAAGGACAAGAAGGATCATCACAAAGGTTATAGCTACCCCGCCCGCAGCGGTGTAATCGTATTTAGTTTGCACGGCGTAGATGCAAAGTGCTGTGACCAGCACCGTAGTAATTGCCACTGCCGAGAGGACAACATTGGAATCCATTAGGCTCGATGCGGCTCCCAGGAGCAGCGACATGGTGAAGGTAAAGATGGCCAGGCAAATCAGATTTACTGGGTGCTTGCGTCTCACGCTCTCCACACAGACGATCATTATCAAGACGATAATGTTAACGATCATGGCCAAAAAAAAGACAACGAAATTCTCCCGCACAAACTGCTTGGTGGGCCCGTGGTAAACAAATGTAGCCATCACTGCACACGTGAACAGTAGTTGGACCTGCAAGAATAAAACTGATACAATGTCAAACTGGATGTAAGATGTACAACTTACCATGAGGATTCCAAAGACTTTGCGCACAAAGCCCTTGCGAATAGTTTGATCATCAAAGATAATGCTTTTTACAATTAGGTCATGGGTAATCGTTCCAGATTCCAACAAGTGCGGCTGTACAGCTTCTGCAGCCGAATCCTCGGCCTGGGATACATTTCTTGGAGGAGGTGCTGGCAATGCAATCGGTGGGAAGCGGTCATTGTTAATCGGTACTGAAACAGACATAAACATCATAGAAACTGTGCGTTTTGGATTTATTAGAATTCAATGAAACAAAATAATATACAAAAAATATACATACATATATACAGAGTGCGAAAAAAAATGTACAAACTTTTGATATGGAGTTGTAGTACAAATTTAACTCGTCAAATAAAAACACCTCTAAACGAGGTACAAAACCTTCAACATCCAAAAGTGTCGATATCCACTTTTGTGACGAAATAATAAAGACACTTTCTACACTTTTCTTATTAAAATTTCGCTCTTTATAGCTGTTTTCCCGCTAAACTACTCTGGGAAATAAAAAGTGATAAGACTAGTTTATTACATTCAGCTGTTTAACACCATATAAATTTTTCAGGACGGTAAAACGTTTTGAGACAAACTCACAATAAAGGCATTTGAAAAGTCCCTAAAATCCTATTTTTGGAATAACTGAACAGAGCATAAGATTTTAGAGAGCAAGGCGTATTGTCAGCAAGAGCCAAAAACCGGTCCCAAAAGCTCGAATTTTTAAAATTAATATATCAGAATCCAATTATACAACCGTTTGACAATTGACACTATCTAAAAGTAAATATATAGATGTACCTTTCCGAGGACACATCACTTTTTGATCGGACTCCAATAACGGATTAGTAACTTTTGAAGCTACGAAAATGTAATCTGCCAATTTACTGCACGCATTCTCCGTCTCCCTCGCACTCAGCTCCTTTAGCTGACTATAGCGACTATAGCTTTCTTTCTTGTTATACCCGTTATTAGACTCGTCTGAAAGTATGTAACATGTAGAAGGAAGCGTTTCCGACCCGATAAAGTATATATGTACAGTGGCGAACTAAAGTCTAAATACGACCCTCTTTTTTTTTTTGATTTTACCAACTTCTATAGCTTTTACAGGAAAAAAATGATGTAGTCTTGTTTTAAATGTTATTATCAAAGGACAACCGAAATTTCAACTTAAACTTGATAAGTTATAAACAAAAAACTTAAAAACGGCCCTGACAAAAGAGAATATACGATTTCTTCCCTAGCTTCCCTAACTGAATGTTGCGATTAAGCATGCAGATACTTGGGCTTCCTTCTTATAAATACATACTAAAACCCTTTGCAGATGTGAAAAATATTTAATTTTCTTCAAGGTTAATAATGTACAATGAACTACATCTGTACTCTGTACGTAAATAAGATGTACACTTCAGTTCTGGGTTCAAATTGAACAAATTAAGTTGTTCAATTTCAAGTTCTCAAAAATCAACAAGAAATAATTAATTTTATAGTTATCGTCTGCAGCTTTTTCTGAAGAAAGAAATAACGATATATTGTCAACACATAATCAATCAATAATCAAAAACAATCTTTGTTCGTCGCGATACCCTACGTGAATTGTTTATAAAATTATTGCAAATACATTTTCGGCACAACAAGAGAAACAACAATTATTTTGAATTTTTGACGTGACGTACCATATGAGATTTAAATAGTTCATCACCTTACCCTGCTCGCCCCTTTACCATACACTCCCATATTACTTCCAACTTTTAATTAATCCAGAATTCTGGACCAGAATACGTATTTATCAGGGGAGTCACAAAAATCACTTCAGCGCTGTCATGAAAAATTTATAAACATGCAAATAAGAAACTTAGGAAAAAGATTTACATAGGTGCTCTGTGGTACCCCTGATAAGCTCATTTACAAAGTAGGGCGATTCAAACCTAAATATATGTTTCTTATCGCTCTGTTTTTCTTAAAAATGTTTATGGTTCTAAGAAGTCCCTCTGGGATCCGCATTTACATATGTACGTACAATGTACGTCGTATGTTAATATGAAGTTTTTAAATAAATGGTAGGAACTCACCGCACAATGCAGCTTTATCTAGGAACGCAGTCCCTTTTTTAGGTGAATCCATGCCGAAAACTAATGGATAGCAGTGATAACTGAATAAAATATGCCTATCTACAGAGTGCTAAGGATGAAATAATAAGAAAAATCTTTTGTGTCTGTACCGCAAAACTGGAGGAAAGGAATGGAAATCAAGCTTGCCGGCTTTTATTTTTGTTCAGAGATGCCAGAGTGTCGCGCAAAGAGTCAGCTGATTTTCAAATATTTCGATTCGAACAAATCGTTGTACATATGTATGTATATGAGCCATCGACATGGTCAAAATCACTTCAGTTCACAAAAGCCACGGGCCCGCAGAGTCAGACTTAAACGGGTTCGGCCAGCAAAAAGTAAAAGTCCCCTGTCCGCGTGTGAGTGTAATTGTAAGATAATGAGTTTAATTACAATATTGCTCAAGACGTTGTTTGTACTCGCATTGGCCGTCCTCTTTGGATACGACACTGTGGCCGCCTATGATCCCAATGATCCCAAGATAGCCGAGTGCTGCCTGCCGCCTGAGGGCAATTTCGAGGCCTTCTATCCGCGGGAAGTGGACGGCATCCCCAACAGCGCCTCACGTCCTGCCCACGGACATGGCAGCTTCTTCAAGCACCGGAACCCAGCGCTGGTGGACACAAAAAATGCAGCTGCCTATGGCTATCGGTTTGATGGCAAGAGGCGTTTCAATTTTGACTAGCGTTGTTAAGCCGACCAATCTGTATTATACACAAATAAAGTCCATTTGAAAACGAAAACATTAAGATTTATCACTGTAACGGAAAACCGAGCTGCAAGCGGGCTGGCAACCCTTTCACTCGTGCAGCCCTGGGGTTTTGTGTGACTGACACTTAAGGCAAGAGCAGAAGAAGAAGAAATCAACATTTTTTCTTCGAAATTCACTCGTTTAAAAAGAATAAAAAAATATGTTTCTGAATCAAATTCAAATATAAATCACATAAATTTGTAAATACCATTACCGAAGCCAAATCACCAGCACATGATGAACGCGCGCAGCATCGGCATGCTGAAAATGCTCAGACACTCCTGGCGCACGTAAGAATCTCGTGGGGTGGTGAAAGGTGGGGTGTTATGGAGCCGGCGAAAAATAACGATTGCCCTTTTCCGCTGAACGTAATGCAGGTTTCCACGCCGCTTGGCCACCAAGGTGACCACGCTGGGCGGCGACGAGGTAGGCAGTGGCACCGGAATCGGCCAGATTACCGGCGGAGTGCGGGCGACCGATGGGCCACAGAAGGTGAACACGCCGTCCAAGGAGATCGTCACCCACCTGCCGCCCCTCACCGAGCCACTGCCCAATTTGCCGGAGGCCGTTTACGCAGCTCCGCTGGCGGAGAGCGCCATTACCAAGGTGACCACGCTGCCGAATGGGCTGCGGGTCGCTTCGGAGCCGCGGTACGGACAGTTCTGCACTGTGGGCCTGGTAATCGACTCCGGACCGCGATACGAGGTGGCCTACCCCAGCGGCGTCTCGCACTTCCTCGAAAAGCTGGCCTTCAATGTGAGTTTGCTTCTGTTGAGTAAGATCCTTGCTAACTGGGCTACCCATTCCAAAGTCCACAGTCAACTTTCCCAACAAGGACGCCATACTTAAGGAGCTGGAAAAGAACGGTGGCATCTGCGACTGTCAGAGCTCTCGGGATACGCTCATCTATGCTGCCAGCATCGACAGCCGGGCCATTGATTCTGTGACGCGTCTGCTGGCGGACGTCACCCTGCGTCCCACGCTCAGCGATCAGGAAGTGAGTCTGGCCAGGCGCGCCGTTAACTTTGAGCTGGAGACGCTGGGCATGCGGCCGGAGCAGGAGCCCATACTGATGGACATGATCCACGCGGCGGCCTACAGGGACAACACCTTGGGCCTACCGAAGCTGTGTCCGCTGGAGAATCTAGACCACATCGATCGGAAGGTGCTGATGAACTACCTCAAGTACCATCACTCTCCCAAGCGCATGGTCATTGCTGGTGTGGGCGTAAGTCTTTGGCAAAGTTTATGTTTTGGAATTTTAATAAAGGAAACTTTTGCTAGGTGGATCACGATGAGCTGGTGAATCATGTGAAAAGATACTTCGTAGAGGACAAAGCCATATGGGATTCGGAAGCCCTGGACGACTTAGGCCCCAATCAAGTGGATACATCTATTGCCCAGTACACTGGAGGAATAGTAAAGGTGGGTCCCACAAAAACCCTTTATTACCTTTTTAAAAGCTTTCCATTACCCATAGGAACAATGCGAAATCCCTATCTATGCAGCCGCTGGTCTTCCCGAGTTGGCTCACGTGGTCCTTGGCTTCGAGGGCTGCTCCCACCAGGACAAAGACTTTGTGCCGCTGTGCGTACTGAACATCATGATGGGCGGTGGTGGCTCTTTCTCGGCCGGCGGTCCTGGCAAGGGCATGTACTCCCGACTGTATACAAAGGTGCTGAACCGCTACCACTGGATGTACAGCGCAACGGCGTATAACCATGCCTACGCCGACACTGGGCTGTTCTGCATCCATGGCAGCGCACCGCCACAGCACATGAACGACATGGTCGAGGTGCTAACCCGCGAGATGATGGGCATGGCCGCAGAGCCGGGCCGGGAGGAGCTGATGCGCTCTAAGATCCAGCTGCAGTCCATGCTGCTGATGAACTTGGAGTCGCGACCCGTTGTGTTCGAGGATGTGGGCCGTCAAGTGCTGGTAACAGGACACCGCAAACGACCCAAGCATTTTATCAAGGAAATTGGTGAGGTCTTTGATGATACTATCGAACCTTTTAATTAATGATTTTAAAATGTTTCAGAGAGTGTGACTGCTGCCGACATACAGCGCGTGGCCCAGCGCCTCCTGAGTTCCCCGCCCTCGGTGGCTGCCCGCGGCGACATCCACAATCTTCCCGAGATGAGCCACATCACCAACGCAGTCAGCGGATCGGGACGCTCTGGACTAGGCCGGCGGCTTTCCCTGTTCAAATAGCGCTGGATGTGAGACCGCTACGATCTGAGAGATCACTTCGCTTTGTTGGACTCGTATCTCACAATTTTGTACGAAGGGCAATCGTGTTAAGTTTAAATTGGCTTAAATATTGACCAAAATTAGATTCGGTTATTTTACCAAGCGTTTCCTTTGGCTGACTTTGGGTAAACATATGTGTATCTAAGCTGATAAAGACGGACCTATCTTTGGGTACTTCTAAGTAAATAGTCGAGGAATAACACAAAATACTTTTTCAAAATGTGTTGGGAAGAAATATCAAAAAAGATTTGGCAATGATATTACATATATTTAAAGCCACATGATGAAATTGGAAAAAATGTCTAATCTATGTTTTAGGAAAATTTGTTAATGTTTTGGTTTGCAAAGGTAATAAGGAAAGTTTCTAGGTAATCTACCAAACGTGATACAATTTTTATACCCTTGCAGAGGGTATATTGATTTCAGTCAGAAGTTTGCAACGCAGTGAAGGAGACGTTTCCGACCCCATAAAGTATATATATTCTTGATCAGCATGACTAGACGAGTCGATCTAGCCATGTCCGTCTGTCCGTCCGTTTCTACGCAAACTAGTATCTCAGTTTTAAAGCTATCGGGCTGAAACTTTCCCAAAAGTCCTATATCTTTTGCAGGTAGTATATAAGTCGGAACCAGCCGGATCGGACAACTATATCTTATAGCTCCCATAGGAATAATAGGAAAAACAAATTACAAAAAATTATATCTTTGGTGTTTTTTAGCATATAACCTCCTAAGCTTGGAAATAACATTTTTTAATTAGTTTTGAATTTCGAATTTAATTTTATCAAAATCGGACGACTATATCATATAGCTGCCATAGGAACGATCGGAAAATTGGTAGGAAAATAATTAAAAACAAATTATAGCTTCCGTGTTTTTTGACATATTATCTTATACTATTGGGAATATAATTTTTTGTTTTTTTAAATTTAATAATTATAGCTGCAAGGGTATATACGCTTCGGCTTGCCGAAGCTAACTTCCTTTCTTGTTATGCTTATGCTAAGTGCAATCTTTTGATATTAACTAATGCGGACATTTTTCCGTTCCGTACCTACGATTCTCACTACTAAAATTGGGCCTCTACTATCAGATACTTTTATCCCAATGATGTTAGGGATGATACCGAAGAACTCTTTCTAACGCGGCGCTGACGCTTGGCAGATGAGCTGGACGCATCGCTATCGCTGCTGCTGCTGCTATTGCCACTTCTATTCAACTTTAAGGGCACTGGAAAAGGGAATGATATATATGTAGCTATATACACCGCACATTCTGTCTGTAAACTTACTTGTTGGGCTCTTGAGAGCAGTGCTTTCAAAGTCATCATCCTCTGGCAGCTCGTCGCTGGAAATGTTCTCGTGCATGCGATACTGCTTAGGCAGGTGACTTTCATCCTGTAGCGGAGCCGCATACTTCGGCCGCTTGACCTTCTCCTCCTGTTGCTGCCGATCACTGTCGTTGTCCAACTCGTTTCCCGTTTGCTTCTTGATGCTCTTGGCGATCACGCGTTTCTGGTGATCCAATTGCGGAAAGAGATCCCTCGAATTCTCTAGTGCCTGCTTGGCCGCGTTCATCTCCGCCTGCTGGATGGAAGAGCCACTGGAGGTGGCCAGCCGCTTCGAGCGGAAGTACACGGCCACCTTGTACACCCGCGTGTTGGTTGGACCACTAGCTTCCACTACCTTATAGTAGGGAATGTCCGGTTCGCCTCCATCCATTGTGCGCAGAGTGAGGCAGCACTGCTGCAGCTTGGACTTGGGATCATTCCAGTCCTGGTTCATGATGAAGAGCTGCAGGCGCGGGAACAGGCATACGTGACAGAACTGCTCGCAATACAAGAGACCCTTGTCCACGTATAGGGCGCCCAGAAAGGCCTCCAGAAGATCGGCGCGATCCTTGGTTTTCAAATCTGCCTTGGGATTGGCATAAACCGCATACTTGGGCATTCCCAAGTCATCGCAGACCACCGCTTGTGTGCGGTTATTAACCAGTGAGGAACGCAGTAGGGACAAATGACCCTCGTGATGCTCGGGGAAGTGGCGGTACAGATACTCCGAGCAAATCAACTGCAACACTGTGTCTCCCAGGAACTCTAATCGCTGATTGGACCCCAAGGTTAAGTGTGTGAATCCAATGGATCGATCGGTAAACGCGCGGGCCAAGAGCCGGATGTGCTTGAACTTGATTCCGATGGAGTCCTCAAACTTGGTGAGCTCCTTAAGCACTCGATAGGAATCAATGCAGTTGCGATCACCTAGTGGCTCCTGTTCCTGCAACGGATGCTCTGGCAGATTTTTCCATATACTTAACAGCTTGTCGTCCTGCCGAAAAAGGGCATCCGTAAATACCTCATCCGCCACCTTGATCCCACCATCCAGGAGAAGGGCACCCATAAGTGCTTCAAAGCAGTTGGCCATGGCATGGCGCAGCTCCAGCTCGTGGCACAGATCGGACCCGTGGGCATACAGCATGAACTCTTCCAGTTGCAGCTTCTTGGCCAGCAGGGCCAGGTGCTGGTTCTGGACAATCGCTGCCCGATATGTGGCCAAGCCACCCTCCTCTAGTTCCGGGAACATGAAGAACAGATGTATCGAGCTCAAGAACTCAACAACAGCATCGCCGAGAAATTCAAGCCTCTCGTTGTGTGTGATATTCGAAACAGTTTCGTGATCCTTGCCAAACCGGGACATGATGCTCACTAATGTGTTGATTCCCCGCTTGCGGGTGTTCATATAGTGGATCTTACGATCTCCGTATTCCGGTTGCCGGATGCCGCAGTTGGTTAGCGAGTTGCGGGCATGATCCGGATTGGTGCCGTAGTTCTCCTTGTAGGAGGGATGCGTCAGCGCCAACTGAAGCAAATAGCGATTTTTGAAGCTATAACCGATGCTCTCCTCTAGCAGGTCCAGTGACTTATGGAAGCGGAGGTGACCTGTTAGAACAGGAACCAGCATGGCGTGCTGCACCACATCGCACATAATTCCCGTGCGATAGAATCCCTCTGAGCTGATGGCCACCGTGATGTTGCGCTTCATACGCCCCTGCGTACGCATCTCCTGAAGGCGTTGTTCCTTCTCCTCCAGTTTGCGCTTATCCTTGAACGAGGGCTTTGACATATTGGCCATCAGATGCCGGAACTTGACGTACTCCCGCCACGCCTTCTGGTACTCCGGATTGCCAGCGTAGCTTAGCTGTGGCGGACGAATACCAAAGTGCACAATTGCGGGATGCGAGATTCCAGTCTCGCGATCCACGCACTCGGGTAGATCGGAGTTGTTCCTGTCCAATTGATCTACGCGCAGGGAGCACGGCTTGTGTCCCGGCTTTGTGACCAGCATTCCCTTGATGAAGTCCACGTAGTTCTGCCACTCGCTTTGACTGATCTGGTTCAGGTGCAGAAGCTGCTGCCGTTCCACTAGCTGGGCGGAGTTATCCAGTAGGTAGCGGAGTACCTCGACCATGGCCAGAACCTCCTTTCCATTATCTGGAAGATCGCGGACGAAGCGGGGTAGGAAGTGGAATGCCGGGCAGGATTCCTCAGCGCTGCCAGACACCACATTAGGCATCAGATTAAAGTCCACAAGCTCCAGCAGTTCGTGGAACAGGTATTTGACTGAAATCAAGCATCGGGTTCAGATAATATTAACCATTTTTTAGTTTTACTTACAAAAAAGATCCAACTCGTGGATCGTAAAGTTCTCTGGCATTTTTTCCTCCTCGTACTCAATGGTGTACTCGATGTTAAAACGGATCACTTTACACACTGGCAGATCAGTGAGACGCACGTGCGAGAGAAGCGAGAAGCCCTCGAACAGGAACTCGTGCTCATCATGCTTGATGATGGTGGGTGTCTTGGTCAGAAAGTTTGTGGGTGGCGAGATGCTGATCCTGTAGTGGAAAAGCTTTCCGGCATTGTTGCTGTTTGGGTCGCACAACTTGTAGCCAGTTTCGCCCGGATAGATGCCATGGCGGATCCCAATGCGCCGAGACTTCGCCGAGCAACGGCACAGAGGACCGTCGTTCATCTCACCGGCATCGTTGTGCCAGAGATCAGCGTGAACCCTCTGCGGATGCTGCACCTTGCGTGACAACTCCTCCATGCAGCAGTCTTGCTCGATCTTAAAGGCGTCGTCGTCGGAGTCCTCGTCAGAGGAAGAGGAGGATGAGCAGGCCTCTGACTTGTGTTTATGCTTGCAGACACGCCGGCGCGCCTTCCTCGGAGGCGGCACATAAACGGGAAGCTTCTGGCGTACCCGCTCCGCTCTCTGCAACAGCTCCTCGTCGAACAGGTTGCACAGCTTCTGCAGCCGCACGCGACCCTTGACCTCGTTCTCGCTCTTAGTGCGCTCGTAGTAGGGCTCAGCTGGCGAAGATCGCACCCAGGATTCGGCCGGTGCATCCGCCTCGCTGAGGGCGTTCATCTTCTTGACATAATCCTCTGGTTTCTCGCAGAAGTTGGAGCACCACTGCCGCAGGAGGCGGTCCCTTTCGGTCTCCACTTTGGGCTTAGGTCTGGGCTTCTCAACGGGCTCGCTTCTCTCCCTCTCGCGATAGCTGCGCTGCGGGTAATCCTCGCTGCCTGCACCCCTTCCGGATCCATAGTAGCCATGGTGGGATCCCTTTGGCGGCCTGTGGGCATAGTGTCCATGTCCATGTCGTGATTCGTGAGCATATCGGGGCTCTTGCGGATGTCGGTGTTCCTGGCCATGTCGCTGCTCATAACGCTTTCCCGAGCTGTAGCCTGGATAATGGTGGTAGCCTTGGCTGGAGCCATAGGAACTATACCTCTCCCTTTCCGATGATTGTCGGTAGTTGGAGGCGTATGCGGGATAGCGCTCTGGGTACTTGTAACTCTCGTGGGGATAGGATGTTCCTGGTGCCTGGTAAGCGGACTCCTGTCCATAGAACTTCTGTGCTGGATCCTGGTAAGCATAGCCATCGTAGCCGTATGTCGCCTGCTGCTGGTAGGGATCGTAGCTGGGGATGGAGCCGGCGTGAAGAGTCGATGCCACCGGATACACGTAATCCTGAGCTTGGGTTTCATTGGACAAGTAAGTGTGCGAGGCCACACCGACTCCCGGCGGAGACAGGGTATCGTCTGACTCGGGCGGGGGTGGAGGAGGCGGCGGAGGAGGCTGGACAGGCGGCGGCGGTAAAGGCGGTTGGTACATGACGATGTTTCTTTATGGAAAACTTCCTGCAAAACCGGCAGGTTGTTTTTTTTTTCCACCGCGAATGGACCGATCTGGCAACTCCCGGGGGTTTGTTTACATTCGCCCATCCGGCAAGGCCATGCCACATATGTTTCGATAGACGACGCCATTGAAATATGCTACTTCCCCGGTATTTTTCGTGGAGCCTCCAACGCTGCACGATGGCCTTCTACGCCGTAGCTAGTGGTCGGAGGGCAGGAGTATACGGCTCTTGGGCAGAGTGCGAGGAGCAGGTCAAGGGCTTCAAGAACGCCAAGTACAAGAAGTTTAAAACGCGCCAGGAGGCGGAGCAGTTCGTCAATGGCTGTAAACCGCTGTACGCTCCACAGGATTCGGCGGTGCCCCTGGGCCAGAAGCAGGCAGCTCCGGCTAGTTGGAAGGAAAGGGTCGATCGGATCGAGAAGCCCAAGTACACAGAGGCCTGGCCCGAAGAGGATCACGACCTGATTGAAGATGAGCTGGTGAGCAGGAGAATATACGAGTGTGAAATCTGCAGTCCCTGACCGTCTCTACTTCTAGAATGCTGCCATGAACGAAGTGGAAGGAGATCCAAAGCCATCATCTAGCAGTGACAGTTTGGTAGGAGACCAAAGTGCCTCCCGTAGACCACACTAAAAATGTGTACCCTTTTCAGGCAGACATCCTCAATCGCAAGCGAAAAGGCAACGACTCTATAAATACTACAAATAAGATTCCACGACATGCATCTCACGTATCTGAAGCCACGGCTCTCAAGCAGGTGGGTGCCTTCCAGTTCGAAATCGACGCCGAAGGCTACGTGATTGTGTACACAGATGGCTCTTGCATAGGAAATGGGCGTCCAGGAGCCTGTGCCGGCTATGGCGTTTATTTCGGCAAGAATCACCAGCTGTAAGTAGTTAACGTAAGTCGAAATTAAAGCTATATAACCACTAAACCTTTAAAGAAATGCAGCCAAGCCCGTGGAAGGACGCGTCACCAACAATGTCGGTGAAATACAGGCGGCAATTTACGCCATGAAAACCGCCCTGGATTTGGGAATCCAGAAACTGTGCATCAGCACTGACTCCCAGTTCCTGATCAACTCTATTACCCTGTGGGTTGCGGGTTGGAAGAAAAGAGACTGGAAGCTGAAGAACAATCAGCCTGTGAAGAACGTAGTTGACTTTAAGGAATTGGATAATCTGCTCCAGAACAACAGCATAACAGTAAAATGGGTGGGTATATTATTAAAATACCTTGCTACTTAACTTTATTTCGGAATTCCTAGAACTACGTGGAGGCTCACAAGGGCATAGAGGGCAACGAAATGGCAGATAAATTAGCGCGACAAGGATCCGCTATTTATAAGGAAAGGAACTCCTGATAAGCATTTTTAAAATTAAGCGCCTTTGTAGTGTGTAATCGATGTGGCAACGCTGAATAAATTGAAGTGGAGTGACAACCCTAACCCAAATGTTTTTATTTACACTTTTTCATCGGAAGTTTTTAAGTAAAACTAGGCTTTACAAATGTTTTCCAGGGTGAACGACAAGTGTTTGTTGTTTTTTTTGGTTTTGGCATTAACGGGAGGAGTGGGCAACTGCTATGTGGTGGAACCACCCATTATTCAAGTGGAAATGGAGAAAGCCGGCATGCACAGGTTTTTGCCAGGAGAGTGCTTTTTGAATTTGTTAAATTAAAGTGAGAATTGTTCTTAAAGGTCCCTCACGTACCGCCTGCGATTCGACTATCCACTGGTGGGCAAGGGTTGCGAGTACGCGCTGCTCCAGGCATTTCCCGCATCTGTTTACATAAGCACCGACGAACTGGACGACCTGCAGCGTTTGAAGAGGGTGCGTTATCGGAAAGATTAACTTACAAGGACCGTCCATAACATTGTGCCTTTTTAGTTGAGTGCCGTCTACCCGAAGTTCGTCAACATTGAAGTGGCCACGGAACGGGCGCAGCCCTTCTCCGTTTTACTGCGCGGTACACCCAAGATTACAGAGACGCTGGCCTTGCCCGTGCATTTTCGCTACCATGCCCCCAGTGATAAGCGGTGCGGTGATCTTGAATGTTGAATTGCATTTGCACACCAGAATAACACCATGTAATCCCCTCAGGTCGGCGGCCACGGTGGCCATCCCCCTGCCGGAGCTCTATCTGAACTGCCCGATGGCCGATAGTGAGCTAATCGAGAACGAGTTGGTTGCCCGGCCCGATAAGCTATACTGCCTGAATGCGGCGGAAAGCCGCTTTGATGAGAACGTCGTCAAGGATGGCCAGCCGACGACCATGGCGAATCTGGAGCGCTGCAACTGGAGGCGTGTGCACGTGGACTGCCAGCTAAAGACGCCACTACGTGCCGAGATACCGGTGGGGCAGGCGACCGCCTACGGCCCGGTGCTGTGCGCCACCATTCTGCTTGGCTGGTCCCTGGCCCTGTGGACCATCATCCGCTCCATGGCCAACACGCGACGCATCAATCAGCGTCTCAACGAGCAGCGTCTGCTACAGCAAAAGGTCAAGTAACAGGCGACAAAGTCGGTGCGGTTCCAAGTCAACAATGGTTAATCTGACGACACATTCCGGCGAATACACAGGGCTGTAAATATTTATTAGTATGCTGTATGCATAGACGATTTACTTATTGACATACTCAAAACGACTTAATCACCCTAGAAACGTGCCACGTCGTAAAGTGCTTTCACACAACTAAGTCATATTAAGCTTCCCTTAGCATAAGCGTAAACATAAACCAATATCTTTAGTTAAAGCTAGGCATATCAAAATATCGCTGGCACAGACGGCAAGCTATAATAACAATAATATATAATTACTACAATTAACGAGATTGTCAGTGGGCTACATGAGCAGGTTGAGTGCCCTAGAACCGATTATCCTTTTCGGACGTTGGAGCAATGAACTTTGAATCGTTCTCTTGGTGGTTGCGCAAAGTCATCGTGCTGGACATGGAAGGCGGCTCGTTCCACGGCTGAATAGTGGCCTTGCCAAATATCACGAACAAGGTGTTGCACACCAGGTAAATTCCTCCCGTTATAAAGAACACCAGCCGCCACTCGCTTGGATCTTCCTCATCTGATATGATAGCTCCCACCACCAAAGGAGCCACTATGGAGGTCACTCCCGCGATTCCGTTAGTCACTCCCATCATGGGGCCGGCAAAGTTGGGCGAAAGATCGATGTGATTGATCAGGTAGCCGCAGAAGCAGCCCGCATTGATACCCACAGCCAGCGTCAGCAGAAGAATGGCCCATGTCTTCTCATCCGCAGTCATGTATCCCAATCCAATCAAACAGGCCATCGGCCCCCACTGTCCTATTGAGTTGAAGAGCTTTCGGGCCGTGGTGATCGTGATGGTGCCCCGATTGATGAGCAAATCCGATATGGGACTGACCACAAAGCAGAGCAAACCCATGGCGAAGTACGGCAGCGAGGAGAGGAAGGCATTGGACTTCACGTTCAGCTGCAGAACCTTGCTCATGTACGTGGGCATTTCGGTGAGTAGTGTGTAGAAGCCCCAGGTGAATCCACAATGGGCTGCTAGCAGACCGTAGAAGGCTGGGGACTTAAATATCGACAACCAGGGCACGGGCATAGACTGAAAGTAGACGTTGAACCTTAAGGATTACCCAAACTTTGATGAGGCCATTGAAAGCGCACTAACCTGACTTGAGCTGTTGCTACCCGTAAGGCTCTCGATGTACTCCACCTCGCTTTTGCTGATCCTGCTCGCTGTGGCGGGTTCGTTGGCCGCCTGCCAGAAGAAGAGCAGCGCCCAGGCTAGACTCAGACCGCCGGACAGGTAGAACAATCCCGGCCAGCCCATGCTGGATTCGAAGATAAACCCACTGGTGACCAGGATAACAGCTGTTCCGAACTGTGCTCCCGAATACACGCCCGTTGTAAGGACTCCTCGCTCTGTGCGCGGCACCCACTTGGCCAGCAGAGTGTGAACACACGGATAGACAGTTCCCTGAACCAGTCCGGTGAAGACGCGCAGGACGCAAATACTCTCCCAGCCACTTTTGGCTGCCAGGGGATGGAAGAAGCATAAGATGCCACCAATTGCCGTCGCCGAACCCAGGACCAATTTTGCTCCAAATCGCTTCGCAAGGAGTCCTATAAAAGAAGGGGTTAAAAATTTTGAATTTTGGCAGATGTTTTGGTAGCTCACCTGCCGGCACCTGGGAGACCACATAGCCCCAAAAAAAGCTACTGAGGATTAAGGACTTTTCCGACGTATCCCAGTTGTAGAATGGAGCACCCGCGGTGGATTGGGTCATGGGAACGATTCCAGCCGAGATGTTGACCCGCTGGAAGTAGTTGATCATCATGCCAACGAACAGGAGGATTGCCTGCCAGTGGCGTGCTCCAAAACCTCTGGCTAAAAGGATACGATAACTTATATTACTTATTTATGTTACAAAAACAGTGAAAGTATATTTTACAGGATATTTTCCTGAGCGGATTTGGAAATACGCGTACTAGCAGGGGCCTTCTTTCTCCGTTGGAATAATAAACCATGTTTGATTAGTTACGGATTTAACGGGCGTCTGGCCATACGATTTATTGATTGCCTCATTATAAATGTACTGTGCGAATTGTTTGTCACTGGCTTGATTATTTCTAGGACCCTTTTTACTCAATTTACATTTTATTGCCGTTTAACAATGCTCTGATAGTGACTTTTCCATTAATTAACGGTTCCGACAGAGCTCTGTGAGTTTTATTATAATAATATTGTCATTATCATTAACGCCTGCCAATGAGGAAAACAAAAGCCGCTTCACTCTCAATGGAAAAGTTCTCGATGGCGACAGTGGAGTAGATTTAAGAGGGGGCAGAATGTGTGAACAGAGTCGTATACTTTAATTGCCTCTTATGAACTCGATGGATCGTGAGATTAAGTCCCCCAAAAATCGTTGCCTTGCAGATGTACAGTACTCACAAAAGATAATAAATATTTTCTTTGTGTCAAACGTATTTATCTCTTGATGATCTTCATAAAGTCTCTAGTCTCAGCAGGTGACTGATATACAGTACGACCAGATATGGTTTGCAAATATAGCCAGACGTTTGTTTTGCAATGGAACCATCTCTTAGGGTAGGTCTGGTGTGCCGTAAAGTGCAGTTATAGTACAAAAAGAGAGCGATCGTATAAGACCAACACCTCTTAAAGCGACGGCGGGTATTTTATAAAGATTATCAGTGATATGAGTATGTATACAGTCTGTCGTATCAAACGTCGTCCATTTCCTATCAATAACCTATAATTAGCTGTTGATTCTGTATAAGACTCCGATGAAGATCTGTCACATTGACCGGAGACCCACAGAAGCACTCGTTAACCCTTTGGATCCGAAGGCAGTCCAGCCTTGGTAATATTTTCCAAACTTATTTCCCCTTCTGGTGACAGAACTTTGTAGCCCATATTTTGTAAAAGATATTCTTTAGATCGTATTATTCGTGGATCAATCTGATACCAGATAATTTAGATGAAGAAAACAGGCGTTACCTCTTTTATCAAAATTTCATTGTATCAAACTGAATATTGACCCAAATCGATATTTTTACAATGCAATATTTTACATTTTACAAATGTATGTAAATATAACTCAAAATATATAAACTACACTTTGTATGATGCACTACTTCGACTGTATTTCGCACGATTTAGCTAATTGCACTACAGAAACTCAAAACACATCGACTGTCTCTTGGATTAGTCACTTACGCCTTGCCTTATCCTCTGAGGTGTCGAAACCCATGTCACTGATATATTTGTTATTTCACGTCGGACTAAAAGTCGGCCGGAGTGCCTGGGCGCGAAATCGTTAGATGACTGCGGAGCGATTGGTGTACCTTTCGCTTTTATACTGATATCACAAGAACCCACTTCCCTGATTACAGGGCCTCCGCCTCCAGTTCTTGAGTGCCCGCGAGGCTTCGCAGATCGTTTGCCGTTATCGCGGCCATAATCATAAAACCATAAACCTCCATCAGAGATCTCGGCACTTGTTGCGACCGATTCAATTCAAATTATATTTTGCCTTGTCTTTGATTTACTTTTATTTGCCGAGAGGGCTACAAACAATTGAACCATTATCGCGATCGGCTCCTGGCCACAGTAATAGTATAGTGGGTTTGGAGCTATCTCACCTGTAGAGGATCACTCTGCTGCAGTAGAAAGCCCTTTTAAAGCCTATGATTCAAGTGTAATCTCTTGTTTTGTGCACTTTTTCACAGAATTGTGTCGGCAAGAGTTGGTGATTATCCAGGTCTAATTGTTTTATGGCCTCCGAGTAGAGTCGTCCACACATCGGATTTCATGCGAATTCTGGGGAAGCCTATATAGGTTTAAGCGATGTGTCAACTTTGAAAGTTTATCATTGATGTAATTATCATTATATAAGGAGAAAGTGGGTGGGATAATAACTAAATAAACGGTGTCCCTGAAATCTATAAAACCAATCAGCGAGGCTCGGTCAAGGGATGAGGTGAACACCTGAAATTTCGACAATTTCACTATTTTTTGGGCTTTTGTTCCGGCATTCCTGCAACCAAAACCGACTTAAAGGCTACTTATCTGATAATCGAGGTACTCGACTGTAGCTTCCTTTCCTGCTCTTATTTCTTTTAATTTAATTTACTTTTGTGCGTAAAACAAATTGTAACAAGAAGGGAAGCTAGCTTCGGCAAGCCGAAGTTTCTTTACTCCTGTAGGTCGTTCCCATGGCAGCTATATGCTAAAAAGGCGCCCGATTTTGAATGTATTAAAAAACGCCAAAGTTATAATATTCTTAAATTTTTTAAATAATATTTATTGATCATTCCTATGGGAGCTATAGGATGTAGTTGTCCGATCCGGCTCGTTCCGATTATATACTATCTGCGATAGAAATAGGAATTTTGGGAAGGCTTCATCCCGCTAAATTTAAAACTGAGAGACTAGTTTGCGTCAAAACGGCAAGATCGTCTAGTGATGCTTATCAAGAATATATATTTTGTGGGGTCGGAAACCTCCCCCTTCACTGCGTTGCAAACTTCTGACTGAAATCATTATACCCTCTGCATGGGTATAAAAACCATAACTTTTTGGGTTACAGGTGTTTACTACTGTGGCAAAAAGTATGATCAATATGTTTGTAAATATTTAAAATACACTTAGGCCAGCGTTTTTTCCAATCATCGAATCATGCCTAATTTCCAGTATAACCATAAGCGCCTTCTTCGATTTTTGTTATCTCCGCATTTGACTTGAAACGCGTTCCCTGGAGAAGTTTCTCTAGTTGCGGAAATAGCCAGAAGTCACAGAAGGCTTAAATCAGGCAAATACGGTGGTTGCGGAATGATATGCGTCGAATTTTTGGCGAAATAGTCACGAAGAACGAGTGAAAAGTGAGCCGGTAGATTACACGAACTGCTTCTCCCAAACGTCGCATAACGCTCAAATAATAATCCTTGTTAGCAGATTGGCCGGGTGAGGGGAATTCACATTCAAAAACAAAAATTCATTGAAAATGCTTTATGTTTATTTAGATTGATCCTTTAGAATTCATTTGAGTCAGTTTTTTAACACAATATCGACCAAATTGCCACCTTTGTTTTTAATGGCAAATAGTGTCCTTTTTCAAGCATTTTCCATGACTTTCTCGAGCATATCGGCCGATATATTGGCCATTACGGTGCTAATACTCTAGTTAAAATTTTTATTTGTAATTTCAAGAACACAAATTTAGCTAATAATAAATATCCTTTTAAATTATTGTAGAATTGTCGGAAGTGCGATCCAATCGATGCAGATATTAGTGCGAAAAAATTACTTCAAACAATAAGATGTACAATAAGATTGTACGAACACAGCACTATTTATTTTGTATTATTATGAAGTATATTTGTACCCCAAAATTTCGGCTAATACCCCCTTCCCATAGAGTCCATCCGTTCGAATCGGTTGGGATTTTTGACAAATGTGAAACTCCGATTCCCACAGGGCACATCTACCATCCGACAACAGCTGTCAAGTCAGCTGTGGCTAATAAAAACACAAGCAAAAATTGTGAAAGTGGATTTTGCCAGACCAAAATGAAACATTTACCAACTGTTTTGGCTGTTGTACAACAGCAAAATATTAAGTTGAATAAGCTTTTATTGGCAGCCAATTCAGAGGAGTGGAATGACGACGAATTGGATCTGTACGAAACCATTTTTCTGCAAAAGAGCAAATGCCACGAAGTGTGTGGATGCTGGTACGTGCTCTTAAATTGTATTAAAAATACTATTAAAGAATGCGGTTTATATTAAACAGATGCGATACGGGACATTTTGGGAAAAGGATATACCGGAAAACAACGACGAGTTCTTCAAAGAGAACTTTCGTATGGAGAAGAGGACCTTTTCGTTTTTGGTCGACCGACTATGTGTTTTGCGGAAGAATTGGCGAAATGCCATTCCTCTGGAAAAGCGGTCGCTATAGCCTTGGGATCATTAGCGGTTTGTTGGGAATGGTCTTGACAGCCACTACAAGAATAATAATGCAGTCATTTTAGCCTGTCGCATTTTGCACAACATTTTAAATGAGCACAACAGCGCTATAAATGAAACTTGGCAACAGGCTGCAAGTGACCTACGCGAACAACCAAATCGGACTAATATGTCTGCAGATTTTAGCCATCCTGCAGAAAAAATAAGGGCAGCTATTTCCCAATATTGTCTAAATGGTAACCAATAACGTTCATTAATTATAAATCTGTTTGTTTTTTATTAATTATTATTTTGGTCTATTTATTGGAAGTTTTTGGGAATTCGTTGCTTTTCTCAACAGCTCCAACAAATCCGATTGGAATTTAGCTTGGCTGTCTGCCATTCTCGACAATATTTCTGTCTGCGCCCGCTGCTCCTGCAGCCTTTCTCGAGCTATCTCCACAAGCTCCGACTTGTGGTCCACCTTTATGCGCTTAGCAGTGCTGCCTGAGCGTTGACTGCCGCTGCAGATAGAAGCTTCCCTGTCATCTGGGTCTACATCCAAGAGCTTCGCAAAGTATTCCCTAGTATCTGCAATAAATACATTTTATTAGATCATTTTAAACCAAAGATATAAGTGTGGGGACATACTCTCGCCTTCCATTTTCAAAAGTTTTCCGTCATCATTGTTTACGTTTTCGTAATGAGTGTTTCACTTTCCACTGTCAAGAAGAAGAGTTTAGGGTACCATTTATGGACCATCCGTTCAACGGATGGTAGATGGTGGATGGATCTCTGTGGGAAGACCCTATTAGCGAACATTTACTAATTTGTTGAATCATATGTTTTGAAACCTATATCAATTGACACAAGGGATTCGTATGTTTTAAAACTTTTTTTTATTTTCAAGCATCTGATTGATGATATGACTCTTGGTCGCAAACAACATTGCCGCATTGGCCAGATATGGGATTCATTTACGGTTCTTCTTCAAAAGCCGATAAAACATCGACATCATCCGCCAAAACATCGATATCAGGAGGGGGGAACTACAAAATGGAACAACATCGAAGTTTATCGATGTTTCTCCACTTGGCCAAAGATTGATTCCATTTTACTCCGTTCACCAGAAAAACATTAAAACGCAGATGAAATGGCCAGCGATTTTCCGCCATTGGCCATCCGGATTTGGATGGACAAGCTGAAGAAGGGCGTTGGCCAGCCAGTGGCTGTCCTAGAACGCTCCCTGCTTAACTCCATGAGTGCTGGTAGGTGAATCATTTAAACACCCAATCCAATCCAAAATTTAACAACTCCACCCAGAGGCAGCCAGTTTGTCGGTGAAGAATGCGATGGAGCGGGGCATCCTGGTCCCAAGAGCAGCCAACGGAAGGGCCAAGCGGCTGAACCTCACCTTTTGCCAGAAGGTGAGCAGCCTGCCCAGTTCCACAGTAGATCTCTACTGCTTCGAGTGCCATTTGCCCGGAGTCGTGAAGAAATGCGCGTCCTGTGAACGCTGCTTTCACGACGATTGCCAGCGAAAGGATCCCGAGAAGCCCAACTACTCGGTGCCCTCGGACAAGAATCAGCCCTACCAGTTTCCGACAGCGGTCAGCGAGTCGGACAAGGAGCCAGAACACAGCACCCCGAACTTAGAGGCTGCACGGACACCCACGACAAAGCAACTGCTCGATCATAATAGCAACATCAGTCATGAACCAATAGCTACTCCGGAATTCCTTAAGCACGAAAGCCCCGAATGGGATGACGACGTCTTCTTTGTGAGCGAGCGAAAGGGCGCCCGCCAGCGAAAGCAAGCCAGGGTCAAGGATGAAGTGCAGACTAGTTCGGACAGCGATGAGGGCAGTGATCTACAGCGATGCACACGTTGCCGTCTACTCACCCTGGCCGCTCTCCTCAATCCACCGCAGTTGGAAGAACAGGAACTGGGCCGCCTTTTGAGATACTCTTGGGAAAAGCATTACTCCTGGATCTCCATGGACGTGTCCAAGTACATGGCCAAGCACTGGAATGAACGCGACAAGACGCTGGTCAAGCGCACACTTTTTAAGACAAAGATCTTGGGGCTGTCCGACATCGAGCGGAACATCGAGACTGAGAAGTATAAGTACTTGGCGGAGTTTCTAATGGATCTGCTCGATCTGCAACACAACATTGCAGTGTTCTTTGGGCCCAAAAGCGTCGAGTACAATGCCACCAAGTGGTTGGTGAGGGATGTGACGCACGATATCCGGGAAATCCGACGATGTCCCGACTGCTATAGGTATTCCAACGAGGCTAGTCTGTCCCAGCTTTGGTTTGCCAAGCCCTGTCTCCAGCGGCACGAGTTGGTTTTTGCCAAACAAACGGGTTCGCCACCCTGGCCTGCAAAGGTAGATATTTTAAGAGTGGTTTAAACTTTATAGCAAAGTTATATTATACTATTTTTTTTACCAGGTTATGAGCGTGTCAAGAAGGCAGCCCATCAAGTACGACGTCCGCTTTTTCGGTGGTTCTCATTCCCGGGCACTCATCTCTGAACGTGATATTACTCCCATAGAGTCGGACATTCAGTCGCATTTCAAGCCACGGAACTCTCGAGCCCTGAGTGCAGCTTTAAGGGAACTGCAGTGCCATATGATCTTGTCACACTATTCCGCCTCGTTGTTTGGGTTCCATGCAGATCCCATAGTTGCCGAGAATCTCATCCAGGTAGCCCTTTCCCATTGCACGAAATCAACAGAAACTACTTCGACTGGCAAGCGCGGAAGACCTCCGACTCCGGCCACTCCCGGCACTGTAAAGAAGAGAAGACTTAACTTCACCGCTCCAGATACACCATCTCCGGTACCCATTCGTGGGATTCCTGACTTAGTTACCTATGAAAATCTAACCGCCGAAATACTGCAGGCGCACGAGAATCTGCTGAACTGCAAGAGCGAACTTACCGCTATGCAAAAGAAGGTGGATGAAGTTAAAAGGAAGCATTGGTGCTATCTCTGCCTGCAAGAGGCCGTCTTCGACTGCTGCTTTACTGCGTCCTACTGCAGCGCAGAATGCCAGCGACGCGATAAGAAACGCCACCAAGCCACTTGCAAAGTCAATCTCTAAAATAAGATGAAAGTGAAAAAATATGAACACAGTTTCGAGGTTTTTAGTATAGGTTTGTGAAACTGGATTATTGCAATCCAAAGTGATAAAATCTCGTTTCCTACAATCATTTGTATAAATGTATCCGTTCTAAAGATATCGCAAGTTATTCCAAGAAAATATAGATTGTTAAACAAGTATTTGTGCAATATGATTGTATTTTGGGATATTTTTGCGGATTTTAAAATTTTGAAAAGAGGCGCGCTTTTTACTCTCATGATGGGCAGCACTCTTTCCGGTAGGTGGCGCCTCTAAAACTTCAACAAAAATAAGACGAGAGTGCTGTGGTCGAATGATTCGATTACACTAGTTTACAGCCAAAATGCCCCAAGAAAGAAGATCCTGGTATATAATTATCAGATACTCGTTATTCAGATTAAACACGAGCTTCTTCAGTAGTCGGTTCCATTACTTGCTCATAGCTTTTTAATGAGTAATACTAAAGAGTTCTAATTTTGTATTAATTTTTTTTTTTAAATTTGTCAATACCTATTACGTTATCTGAAGCCCTTTACCACACCCACTCCAGTGTTTTTGAGGATTTATTTTCAGTGTACATTTTACTTCATTTAATTTGGCAATTAGTTAATAAGTTACGTTGGTTGCTAAGTTCTTTTTGTTCAGTTTGTTAACAGGGCCAAATATTTTTCGAAATTCGGTTAAACTGTTAAAACCAATGTAATATGGTCCCATTATGGACAATTACGCTCTGGCAAACGTGTTTACCCCGCAGATCGGATCGCAAAAAAACAGAAAAGTTCAGACGAAAGGTCAAATCGAATTTGCGGAACGCTTAAAAGGGTTCATTGCAATTTACGAGTGCAGGCGAGCATGTGAATGCATCAGATATGAGGGACGATAGAGGGGCTGCTTACCTTACGAGTGCAGGCCGGCGGCGAAACGGCCGTTAAGCGGCTAACCCAAAATAATTGATTTATGCCGGGTTCAGCAGACTATTTTGGGGGCCAGTCCCGAAATGGAAATGGCCACAAGAGTTGGCACCTTGCGCTGGCATAGATAGAAATACATGGCTGTAATAAATACTTCACTTAGGGGGAAGCAACATCAGCACACGATTTGGGGTTTCTGGTTTCGGCATTCTGCTCCCCAAAGTCGGAAGTCACGTTTAAACGTTTTCGCTAAAAGTTTCACACAGCGGATGATTGATGAGCCGAGTATTACTTACCTATGTTCCGAATATATGGTCATTAGGGTTTCCTCGTGTTTATCTTTGGCTCGCTTTAATGCACTTTCGCCCTCGAAATAGTAAATCATTTTCGGAGTATTTCACCCTGCCACTTAATTAAGCCAGAACTGAATCAATAACAAACTCTCCCATTTCATTTTCCATTTGGAGCGAGTCATTATTGTTTGCTGGATAAATATTTATTCAACATTTTTGGCCTGTGGCTGAGATGCAAGACTTTTGCATTTTGCAATCAAAATCCCTGTCAATATTTGTGAGAAAATTTGTCAAAGAAAAGCAGACAAATTCCAGTGGCAATTAGGAATATATGTACTGTAGTTTTGCTAAAAATAAACATGTATTTTTTGTGTGCTTCGTCTGTCTGCTTGCATTTTGAATTGTGTTTTAATTATGTGCAAACTTCAGGGGCGTTTTCCTGAAATTTGTCTGCCGCCTATTAAAATCCCCCTGACAAGACGGAACATTTTTCATCAGCTCGTAATCAAATTAGTCGCCTGCTAATTTAAACTGCACTAATTTGTCTACGCCACGAAGGGAGTTGTCCCTTCGCTGAAGTGAGTATCTTCGTGCTTATCTTCTACCTAGCAGGTTGTCAAAAGGAGCATGGCTCCAAGGAATTTTGTGACAGCTAGGAAGGATTTATTGGCCCAAAATTGCCCGCCTACAATTGCTCAACAAGTCCTGTTAATGAATTTCTTTGCGCCAGCCGAAAGCATTCCGAATTAACAGCAAAACATGAGAGAGATTTTAAGAAAGTCAGTAGATTCAGTTAATTCTTGAATACTTTTCTAATTTTAAATTATTCCACTTGTCGACATGATTTGATTGTGTATTTTGTACCCTTGTTAAGGGTACATTGAAGGAGACTCTTCCAACCCTACAAAGTATATGTATATCTTGATCTTGATCTTGTCCGTCTGTCCGTCCGTTTTAACCCAATTAATCTCT